GGAGAGGGGGAGTGTGATGAGAAGCATTTTGCAAGAACTAACCTCAAGTCTATCTGGATTTGAAGAATTGACTTCTCTGATTTCTTGAAAACTTACATTGTGATCTGTAGTCAACTGCTCGGCGACCATCTTCCCCGTTCCATCCAAAAAACCTATTACAGCATGAGAATTCCCCACATTTGCAACATACAATGTTTTTTCCCTTATAACTCCAACCAGACAACAAGAACCAACAGCTGCAATTTCCGGATTTCTAGGATAATTCTGACGTACATGATCAAGAAATCCATTTTCAGTTTCAATAACAGCATTTTTAACAATATCTTCAGAAATGCTTCCATTTTCAAGAGCAAGCCCTGTTGAATGATACAAAAATGCATTCTAAAAGGAATCAGTTAAAGGACTAAAAGCATCCAACACAAACAAGATGATGTAAAGGAAGCCAAGGTTACAATAAAATCCGTGCTGACATGATGACTAGAGATTATAAAATATAAAATAAAGGGAACAAGATGATAAGCTAGACTATGTAGGCTGTTCTTTTCTTAGATGAAGAAAATAAAAAAACATAAAAGAAAGTACGATTCAAGAAGGTAAGCTAATTTCAAACATGTTTGAAATAAAAAAATTCAGATTCTATCTCTGTTTAAATTTTTACATTAAAAAAATATCTATTTATAGAAATTAAGAAAAGAAATAAATAATAAATGAAAGAAGATAAATGCACAAGTTTCTATCCCCAAAAACAAATTCATATACCAACAAATAATAGCTTTCTAAAGAAAGTGCTCAATTTAAAAGAAAACAAGCTCTTACTTGTCAAATTCTGAACGAGATTGTCTGTAATATAGAGAGATGCATTTGAACCACCATGCCCATCATAAACTCCAACAAAGGTAGCCTCAAATCCAGTGTCAACCAGGCTGTGATCTTCCATAAAATCATTTGCTTGCATCACAGCAAATGAAAGGTCACCATACTTATGTTTATCAAGGTCCTTACTCCAGAAGAGGGGGCCTGGGACTGAGAGATCACAAAGATCATCATAATCATTATCATCATCCTTGCTGGTACAAACAGTTGCTTCAGATGATGGACTGGTAATTGGAACAATATATCCCTCATCCTGAATAGTCAATAAATGATCACTAACTATTGCTTCAGATGGTGGACTAGTAACTGGAACAATCTCTCCCTCATCCTGAATAGTCAATGGATGGTCATCATTCCTTAGACTTGTCCTTGCATCAATCTCTTCACAAATGTTAAAACCTGATGGTTCACCAAAATCTCTGAATCTACGTATTGAACTCTCCCATAATGGTACCTCCTTGTTCTGTGACCAATGGTCAATAAAGATCACAACAACAGTAATATCATCATAGAAAGACCGCCTTGTCCCTTTTTGAATCTTCTTAAGCTCATCCAACCTCATATTCCTCTTCTTTGCCACCTCTTCCAGAGCTCTTATAATAAGTCTTCTTGCAATTCCCTAACATTTGCCAGGGAAAGGTGAATCAAGGGCATTGGTAAAAAACAACACAGTAGGTACAGAAGTGAAAAAGGCACTTACTGCTCGCTGATTATTATTCACAATATCAACAGCTTGCTCAATTGTCAAATTTTCCCAAAGCCCATCAGATGCAAAAATGAGAAACCTATCACCAGCTTTTAAAACCCTTCTTTGCAATTCAGGTTCTACCTTTACAAGATTTTCAGGGAAGGGTTTGGGGAGGTTGTACCGTGTGTAGAAGTAAGGATGTTCATAATACTCCTGCTTCTTCATGTATGCAGAACCAATAGCTCTAGATACCTTGCACCATCAGCAGGCAAACACAAAATAAGAAAGTTCAGAAGTCAACATTTTGCACTCTAACAAATTATATTTTACCAGTTTACCAGTTTACCGCTGAATCAATGTAAAAAATTTTAAGCTCCAAAGCTGAAGACAATTAACATAAATGGATTCTCTTCTGGATAACTTTTAACTCATTTCAGATAATCTTCAAAATCATGAATAAGCAGCATTTCTATATTGCATATGTACAGAGAGTTAAGAAAGAATGCCACTGTTCTATAATTTGACTAATTACATATACGCAAGAATTCAGGTGACCATCATAGCAGAAAACAAGGAAAGCATGTAAGAACTAACCTGAAGTGTGCCTTTGATATGCCATACTCCATGGTTCTGAACAACAATATATGGATCGTCTGGATTTGATGACATGATTTCATTTCTGATTTCATCCACATTTACATTGTGATCTTCAGTCAACTGCTCAGCAACCATCTTCTTAGAGTCATCCAAATAACCAATTACAGCTCGAGAATTACCAACATTTGCAACATACAGCGATCCTCTCCATATAACTCCAGCCAGGCAACTAGACCCAACTTCTGCAGATGACTTGTCTCCATCAAATTTATTTTCCACAGAAGCAAGAAATCCTTCTTCCGTTGCAATAACAGCACGTTTAAGACTATCTTCAGAAATGGTTCGTGCTTTAAGAACAAGCCCTGTTGAATGATACATAAGATGCATTCTAAAAGGAATCAGCGAAAGCATTAGAAAAGCATTCAATACTAGCAAGAAAAAAGCCAAATGCATAAGTACAACTTCACCACAAAGTTGCCCTTATCCTGTATCTACCACAGAAAAGGAATTCAGATTAGGGGAAAACAGATCACGAATTTCAGGGGAAAAAAGAATAACATTAACACCAAGAAACCCCAACAGAACATTAACACTATATTTGCAAATTCCTGGAGAAAAACAAAACCTCAAGAAACCAAAATGGAACCAAGAGACTTACATGTCATTGACCTCCACATCAAAGAAACGCAAAATTCACAACAAAACTATAAAACCCACATTTCATAGAAAAAGAAAGAACTGACCAGTGAAATGCTTGCAGAGATTTTCAGCTACAAAGTGAGACGCTTCGTCTGAATCACCATGCCCATCATAAACTCCAACAAAGATAGCGTCACTTGCAATCTCGATTTGGCTGTAATCCCTCTTGACCAGATTGGCTTGAATCTCTGCGAATGAGAATTCGCCATAGGGATGCCGTTCGAGGTCCCTGGACCAGATGATGGCACGAAGGTCAGGATCATCACCGTCGTCATCCTTGCTCATACCAGTAATTCGACCGACGGGATTCTGACAAGAAGGAGTCGTTTTTCCTGATGACTTCGACATCTTTGCTCATTTACCTGCTAAACAAAACCCTTTTAGAACCAATCTCTTAAGAACCAAAAGAAGAACGTAACCCCCAGAGTCCAAAAACCACCAAATTTCTTGGCAAAAAAGAAAGAAAAAAACTGTGGGTTTTTCTTGAAAACAGAAAACAAGCAAGGAAACAATGGGTCACAAAAGAATCAAGAAGTGAAAGAAGGAAAGATTATACCTTTGGGAGTTGAGAAAATGAAAGAAATGTAAACGCACAGAGGGAAAGATGGAAGATTGAAGATCGAGAAACTAAGAAAAAGGAAGAAATGATAACGATTTTGGGTCAAAGAGAAGAATGCGAGGTTCGACCATGAAGTCTTTTGATTGTGAGAAGAAGATGGAAACGGAGAAAAATGGAGACTTTTTATAAGGGCGAATTGCAGATGGAGGGAAGCTTTTTGAGTATGGGGAAATATGAATTATAAGGACCTGTACTTATAAAAGTTTGCCAATTGCAGAATACCTTCAACCTTTCCCTTTAGTTAAATATTAATTTATACGCTCAACCTTTTTTTCCAACCAAAACTACCCTCAACCTGCATTCTGTTCCCATAAATAATCTTTTTCTTTTCCTAGCATTTATTTTTGTAAATTTTGGGAAAACAAATTATATCCGAACTTGTATATCTACTTTTTAACTGTAAATTAGGTTTATCATAATTCAATAAAAAGATAAAAGTTCAAGGTGTAATTTGAGCCTCAAAGGAGCTTGTGGGCTTAACTTTCATTTTATATAAAGCTTCGGGCAACATGAATGTTTATAACGGATTCTGTTTAATTTCGGTTATAATCAAAACAGCATTAATAGAGGGTTTTTTTTT